AAACACTATGTTGCTTAAATTGTTCTGTTCTGACCTGTGTTATTATGTTGTTATGTCCTCTTTTATCTTAATCTCCTTCTTTCTTTTAATTTAAAAAAAGGAACTGTCTAATCTTTTTTTTAATTTCATCTGTGACTCATTGGTTGTTTAAGAGGATATGATTTTATTTCTGTGTTTATATAGTTTTTGTGGTTCTTTTGCCATTTATTTTCAATTTCCTTACACTATGATCTGGTAGTATATGTAGGATAATTTAAATTCCTTTGCATTTAGTAAGACATGTTCTGAGCTAGTATGTGGTCTGTTTTGGAGAACGTCCCATGTGCTGTTGAGAAGAGTGTGTATTCTGTTGTTGTGGGAGCCCTGTGTAGATATCATGTAAGTCCATTCGTTCAAAGCTTTGGTTCAGCTCCAATATTTCTTTATTAATATTTTGCCTAGTTAATCTATTTGTGACAGTGGTGTGTTGAGGTCTTCCATTATAGTTGTATTTGTGTTTATGTAGTTTTTCATATTCATTAGTGTGTGTTTTATATATTTGTGTGTGCCAATATTTGGTGCATGTATTTTTGTGATTATTATTTCTTCCTCTTAAGTTATTCCCTTAACACATTTGTAGTAATGATCTATGGTTCTTCTGATCAGTCTTGTCTTGAAATTTACTTGGTCTAAAAACATACTCCTTTTTTCTGGATTCCTGTTGCATGGAGTTATCATTTTCCATCTTTTGTCTTTCAGTATGTGAATTTCTTTTGGAATTAAACATGTTTCTTGTACACAACATATTGTTTCTTGATTCATTCTAGTAATCTGTGTCTTTTGTTTGGAGAATTGAGATGTTTTAAATAATAGGTACTGACATCATTCTCATTGAATTACTTTTGTTGTGTTAGTTATCTTTCCACTTAATTTCTTGCTTTGCCTAGTGATTCATACTGTTTAGATTATTGGAATTTGTGTGTCTTCATTGTCTTTTTTAGAATATCCTACAGGACTCTTTGGAGTGCTGGTTTGGTGGTCATGAATTTCTGCAGATATTTTTTAGTATGTAAGTATATTATGTCTCATCAAATTGTTTTGCATTTATTTTTATTTTAAAGATAATAAAACAACAATAAAATGAAACTAATAAGACAATAGGAAATCTACAACAGTTACTGTATTGCATATTGTTCTCCTCTAAATAGTTGTTTAGACTACCAGCTTTAGAATGGCTCACAGGGAGGGGCATAGCTGCCTTCCTTGTTCTCCTCAGTCTGCACTCTGGCTGGCTTATAGGCAGGAGCCTAGCTGCCTTTATGGTTCTCCCTGGCCTGTGCTCTGGCTGGCTCACAGGTAGGTGCTTAGCTGCCTTCCTGGTTTTCCCCAGTCTGTGCTCCTCTTCATCAAATTTGAAAGGTAATTTGACTGGGTACAACAATGTAAGTTGCAGATTATTTTCTTTTAGGGCTTGAAATACTTCATTTCATGTTCTGTTTGACTTAAGGGCTTGAATTGAGAAATCTGCTGTGATCCTAATGGGCTTTCCTTTATACATAATTTGTTTCCCTTCTCTTTTCTTTTGTTTCTTTTCATAGCTTTTAATTTTCTTTTCTTGTGTTGAATTGCTGGAATGTTGATTATTTCATATCTTGGTATGATTTTTTTTTGATCATGCCTCATGAGTTCTATGTATGTCACTTATCTGTATGTGGTATTCTTTATCCAAGTTTGGTTTGTTTTTGCCATTACTTTTGTGGACAGGTGTTTTCTTATGTCCTTTGTTTTGTCTGAGTTTTCATTGATTCCAATTAATCTTATATTAGTCTTTGAATTTCCTGGTAGCTATTTGATTTTTTATGGTTCTATGATATTTTTTTAAAAAGTGTTTCATTTGATGATTGCCAACCACAGCCCTGTCTTGTAGATCTGATTATCTTTACATTGTTTTACGCTAATGTATAAACTTTTATTAGAATTTTTAATCTCCTGAATTTCTCTCTGGATCTGTTTTATAGAATCCAGTTCTTTTCTCTGTTGGGCATTCATGCTTTCTATGGCTTTCCTAAGCACCTCCATTTTTTAAAAAAACTGGTATATACTCTAGATTCACTCATCATTTTCTTATTGTGGTCATCATCTCTTTAATTATCTCTGTTTTGTTTCTGTCAAGAGACTTATTGATTTGTCTTATTATTTCTGCTGCTACCATTTCATAAAATTCAGCTGGGAAGTTTTTATGTCTTCCACCTCAGTTCCCCCTCCATTTGCCTTGGATGAGTTGGGTATTATGGGTTGTGCCTTACTTCTTTGTTTTCTAATTTTCTAATTTTTAAAATTAATTTTCTGTGTATATGCTTATAAATTATTAATGGTAAGTACCCTTATTACTGGTATTGAGACCTCAAATGACTACTCTACTGTAAGCTTGGCAATGTTATCCAGTAGTTTTGGTCTCTTGGTGGATAACAGGAATTTTGACCTCTTATGGTATGAGTCTATTTGTATGGAGACAGATGGGAAGTGTTTTTACATTTATTGGAACTATCAGGCTTTCTTCTTTGTATTACACTATACTACATCAATAAATGAGTTCTAATTTAAAGGTAGCATCACCCACTTGGCTAGATATATGCTCTGGTATTTTGAGCTCCATAAAGAGCATCAATCAGCTCTTCAGGATAGGACTCAGCAGTTTAGAAAGTAAAGAATAGTCACTTACTTTGAGATTCCAGTCTTTTAAATATTCCAACACTGACAGTTGAAGACGATCTCAGAAACAGAGCGGTACTTCCTTTTTTGTTTTCATGGAGAAAGCTCCACTTTCCTTGCAGTTTAAATTGATATACCTCTCTATGACTTTAGTTTCTTTGGATCCAGCATTTTTATGGGAACAGAAACTCCAGATTTTCTTTTGGGCAAGTACTCTTAAACTTTCTGCTTTCATTAATAATACTGAAAGCCGAGGGTGGTGGTGTATGTCTGTAACACCAGCACGTGGGAGGCTGAGACAGGAGGATAGCTTCAAGGCTACATAGCAAGGTCAAGGCCAAATTGAGCTATATAATGAGACCTTGTCTCAAAAAAAGCACTGAAATCTTTGTGAATTTTCACTATCATTTGATGTATCAGTATAATTTTGAAGAAAATGGAAGGGTCACATGTGTATTCTATGATTAACGATTAGGTAAAGCAGGTTACAGAGCATTCTAGCCCTTCTGGGCTTCTACTCTAACATATAGTACTATAAAGGCTATGGGATAACAGGGATTTAAAATGTTTGAACCACTGTGTCGGAAATTTGGAGATTCCTAAAGTACAGCAATGTATGAGGTCTCATTGAAGTAAGAAACTGAAGTACATAGATACTCTATTCAATGGCTTTCACAAGTTCCCACACAGCTAAATCAAGGATTTTTTTTTTTTTGAGTCTTGCTATATAGTTCAGGGTGGCCATGAACTCACTCTGTACTATGAACTTAAGATTTAATTTTTTTGAAAATTGTAACTATTCAGTACTTTGCCATCAATACATTATTATCCTTATAGTCACTATGTTGTATGTTAGATCCCTCAAACTTATTCATCTTATAACTAAAAGTTTGTACTCCTTGACCAAAAGTCTCCCATTTTCTCCAACCCATAGTCTCAGAAAATTATTGTTTTACTATTTATGTTTTTAAGATTTCACATATACTTAAGATAATATAGCATTTACCTCTTTGAGTCTACCTCACTTCACTTAGTGTAATATCCTATAAATTCATCCATATTATTACAAATGGCAAGATTTATTTCATTTTGTGGCTAAATAACATTCAGTTGCATGAGAGAGAGAGAAAGAAAGAGAGAGAGAATGAAAATGAGAATGAAAATACGTAGCCATGTTTTCTTTATCCATTCATCCATCAGCAGATGTATGGATTGTTTCCATATATTGGCTGTTGTGAATAGTATTTACAATGAACATGAAAGTACAGATATCTTTTTTTAACATACTGATTTCATTTCCTTTAGATATATGCCCAGAAGTGGGATTGCTAGATTATGTGATCATTCTATTTTTAGTTTTTTGAGGAACTTCCATACTATTTTCTGTGATTATATCTGTTTGCATTCCAACCAACAGTATACCAAAGTTCCCTTTTCTCCATATCCTCTCCAAATTTATTGTTTTAAAAAATTTTATTATGTTCACTTTAACAGGTTTGAAATAATACAGTAAGTCCCCGACTCATGAACATTCGAGTTGCATACTTTCACAAGTATGAAGGAGGTTCGTAGGAACTTCTCATTGCAAACATTTGTAGAGGGCCAGGGATATAGCTCAGTGGCTTAAGCCCCCGCCTGGCAAGCTCAAGGTCCTAAATTCGATCCCTGATACAAAGAGCAAAACAAAAAAAGAAAAACAAAAAAAATGTGTAGATGTAAACAAGTCATGGAAGTAGCTCACGTGTTGCCAGACATTGTCACAGAAGTGCTGCTGTGTGCCTATTGTGCAGTGCCATAATGTACAGTAGCACAGTGCTTAATCAGAGCCCAGGATGTCTGAAAGCAAGAGGAAAAGCAGTAGTGATATGGAGGGGACTGCTAGGAAGTGCAAAGCAATATGCTCCTGCAATAGAACTCATTCATAAGTTGGAGACCTACTGTAACACATTGTGATGTTTTGTGGGGTATTTTTTGTAGATATCAAACTTAGGGCCTCCTATATGGTAGGCAATACTCTACCACTGACCTACATCCTCAGCTCTCATTATGATTTTGATTTACATTTCCTTGATGATAATGATGTTGAATAGCCTTTTATATATCTGTTAGTCATTTATACATTATATTTGGGGAAATGTCTACTCAGCTATATTTGTTTATGTAGCTGTGATAATACATGAATTTACTCTTAAATGAAGTTCTCAAGTCCTACCTACCACCTCTCTGGACCTCTGGGTCTGAATATAGGGTTCACCATTCATATTGACTGATTGCCTTTCTTTTCCTTGTGCCTTGTTTTGTTTTTACAGTTGTGCTGATGGTGTTTTCCTTGATATCTGTCACCTATGGAGCTACCCTCTGCAATATGTTGGCTATCCAGATTAAGTATGATGACTACAAGATTCGCCTTGGTCCACTAGAAGTCCTTTGCATCACCATCTGGAGGACATTAGAGATTACTTCTCGCCTTATGATTCTCGTGCTTTTCTCAGCCACCTTAAAGTTGAAAGCTGTGCCCTTCTTAATTCTCAACTTCCTAATCATCCTCTTTGAGCCTTGGGTTAAGTTCTGGAGAAGTGGTGCCCAGATGCCCGATAATATTGAGAAAAATTTCAGCCGGGTTGGCACTTTGGTGGTGCTAATTTCAGTCACCATCCTCTATGCTGGCATTAACTTCTCTTGCTGGTCAGCATTGCAGTTGAGGTTGTCAGACAGAGATCTTGTGGACAAAGGTCAAAACTGGGGACATATGGGATTACACTATAGTGTGAGGTTGGTGGAAAATGTGATAATGGTCTTAGTTTTCAAGTTCTTTGGAGTTAAAATATTACTGAATTACTGTCATTCCTTCATTGCTTTGCAACTCATTATTGTGTATCTGATTTCCATTGTCTTTATGCTCCTTTTCTTCCAGTATTTGCATCCATTGCGCTCTCTTTTTACCCATAATGTAGTGGACTATCTCCACTGTGTCTGCTGCCACCAGCACCATCAGAGAAGAGCTGAGAACTCAGAGCCACCTTTTGAAGCTGACACAAGACAAAACATTGTCTGATTCTATTTCATGGCTATCATGGGATGAGTTGAAGGATGCTAATAGGAGCTATGAAATTGAAAGAGAGGATGAAATTCATGGATAAGTAATCAACAGAAAATTTTCTTGCAAGCCTATCAGAAGAAAGGGTGACCCCTAGATATGTTTTACTTCTTTAATATTTATTGCTAGTCTGGCATGGTGGCGTACACCTTCTATCCCAGCTACTTGGGAGACTGAGGAGATTACAGTGTTGAGGCCTGGCTGGGCAATGTAGCAAACATATAAGTAAGTAAGTAAATAAATAAATAAATAAATAAATAAATAAATAAAGTTAAACTGTGATGTTCCTGAGTGGTATAATGATTTCCTAGCATGCACAAGGTCCTGGGTTCAATGCCTAGTACCAGGCAAATGGAAAAAAAATTACTATTATTTTTATATTCCAGATATCTTGGTTACTCTTCTTGTTGCTGAGACAAAATAGCTACCCAAAATTAAAGGGGAAAAGGTTTATTTTGCTCACAGTTTGTGGAGGTTTCAGTCCATAATCAGCTGGCTCCAAGGCACCGTGGCACATGGTAGATGGGCAACAGTTTACAGAGGAACAAGATAGCAAAAGCCTCAAGTTAGCAAGACAAACCTCTTTCTGTCCCTTATATTGTATGCAGTCTACCAGGATCAGGGCAGTTCTAATTCAGTCAGTGGACTGATCCAGCCATCACTCACCCATAACCGTGTTGCATTACAAATCAATTACATGCTCGTGATTCAGCCACCTCAAAATAATATTCTATGACTGCATGAGGCTTTGGGAGTACATCTTGGCACAAACCATAACACCAGGGATATCCACTATAAAGTTGCAAGGGTCATAAATACTGTTCATATCACTGCTAATCAAGTCATCTGGGATAAATTACCTTCAAGCACCTTGAACTCTGTGATTTTCCAGACTGCCCAATTGCTTAAGGAATTACTGATCTTTTCCTTGCTAAACTGTAAACTCAGAATCTCCTGATTAGAGGATGCAACAGCTTGCTACCTATCAATGCTCCCAGGAAATAATCTATTGTGGAATCTGTGTGCCTGGAATGTTAATTCGGGTTAGAATGTTAATTCTGGCTCAGAAGAAAACCCTCACTGTTAAAAGAGCTATCCCCACAATATGTTAGGTCTCCATTAGAATTTTCTTATAGTCATTAAGCAAAGAGGGTATGCAGAGTAGAATTTCTTTGGGGTGTAAAAAATGACTCTTTTCTTAGAAACCTGTATGAACCACCAGCTTGTCAAGAAGAATTATTGAGTGAAATCTCTCGCTGCTTCATTTATATGGAATCCCTCCAACCCAATTTTCTGTGCTCTTACTATTCAATGTGAACCTCAGGGAAGCTCAACTCTAATTGGGAATGTTTCTAGTGTGTGAATAAAGACTGCTTTGTGTCTGCTATTCTTGCTTTCTTTAGGGAAGGGAAAATAATAATGGCCAATATGTCACCTTCATGTTGCTTGGAGTTGGAATGGTTGACTAACACTTCCAAAATAAAGTGAAACTGGTGGGACCCTAGTCCACATTAAATATCATTAGTACTGTTTTTCCTGCAAGGCTTTACTTTCTAGTAAGTAGTATAGGTTTGGCTTCTCTTGAACCATTCCACATAACCAATGGATGAAAGCATGTGTCCCTTTTCCATATATCACAATATTTACATCTCATTTCAGTTGAATATTTTGATGGACATGTCAAATGGATGCCTCTGAAGTAAGCAAGAAATTGAGGTTATTATGACCACTGCCTATTGAGACCTAGTATCCCAGTATTTATCTAATTAATACTTGTTGCTCACAGACCAAGAAAAAGAAGAATTCCTAGTAGTATGTACCAGTCATGGCCACCACAGTGCTTCAGGAAATTGTAAACAATCTAACTTTGGGCTTTCTGTTCCCATAAAATTTTACTCTTTTATGATTTCTTTCAATTTTACTCTTGTGATCATCCTAAGAGTTTAATCATTTCCTTTTTTTTCCTTTACAGTATCAGGACTTTATGTCAGAGGGAGATTTTTCTTCTAAGCAATAGGGGGATTAACTAGAATTATTTCTAGGCATGGAAAGTTACTCAAACTTCCACTGCTGTTTGGAGCTAAAAGGATTGGTTAATTAATTTGCAGGGAGAATATAGTTTCCTACTTTGTGCTTTGGTTTAGATCTAGAATGCCCATGTGCAATCTCACATATGGCAGTGGGGTCTAGCTAGAAGGGTCAGGTCACTAGGGATATGACATGGGAGGGTATGTTCTCAGCCCTGACTCTTCCCTTCTGTCTCTGCTCCCTGGCCAACATGATGTGAGCAGCTTTACTCTGTTATGCCCTTCCTTCATGTTATTTTTGCCTTGTAGCCTATAGGCTATAGACTGAAAGTTCTGAAACTGTGAGGCAAAATCAACCTCTCCTTTAAAATGTAGGTGTCAGGAATTTTGTCCTAATGGTGGGAAAGTGACTAATACAATTTTGGAGCAATGGAGACTTTTTCCACAATCCAAACATTTTTGTTTCATTTTTTCATAATAAATAAGCGACTTATATAAAGCTCACACTGACTCTGTTACTCAGTGAACTTGAAAGAAACTATCAGACATCCAGGAGAACACATTGTTTCTTTGAAATTCAAAGAAAGAATTTCTTCCTAATGGTCAACATGCCCTCAGTTAAGAGCAGGAGCAGCATGGAACAGTAATTTTGTCTATAAAAGTGAAATGAATCAGCTACTTAGGATACATAGAAACACATACACACAAACACAGTCAGACAAGCCAATTAGAGCTAGAGCTGAGATGTACGTGGTGGAAAAGCGTGATTCAGTACTGGGCTAGGCCAAAATTACCCATCATGTATTTTCCTAGCCTTGATGACTTAATATCCTAAGAATTTATAGAATTTAAAAGGAAGGGTGTGTTGTAGCTTACAACCTGAAAAACCTGCTTCTCCCATTATAGGAGAAGAGATTCTATTGATATATTATGCAAACAAACTCCCAGAACCTCCTTTAGGTGGTGGCCTTTCCATTCCACGGGAATTTTCCAGGAACACAGAAGGAAATGTGGAATCTGGAGTGATAGGAAAGGTAGGTAGGTACCCTCTTCCATTTATAAAGACGAATTAACCATTCTCTTTTTGTCTTTTGAAATCTTAAAGTCACAAAAGGCACACGTGAAAGACAAGTCTTGTTGAGTGGAAAGGAGGTAAATATGGGGCCAGCAGATTTCTGGAAAAGCAAGGCAGACTTAACAAATTTGGGAAAAAGAAGTAAGCCATTGCAACATAGCTATTCTTATATTATTGGGAATTTGGTAGGCTAAGTATAGGCAAGTTAGCATGTTACAGAAATGGAATTACAGTAAATAAACTAAGAGTTGTCAATTTCATTTACTTCTCAAATACTTTAAAGACTACATGTTCAGAACTGTGAGGCACTGTGGGAGAATTAAATTTTAGCATATATTTACAAGCACTTTAAGCCTGACACAATGCTATGTGCTTCATATAATTATTTCATTCCATTCTCATAATCACTTTGATCAAGTAGGTATTTTTATCATTCCCCCACTTACATGGTCCAAAGCATAGCAAGGTTAAGCACCTACCCAAGGTTACAGTATCATAGCCAGTATTAGGTCTTAGGCACACAAATTCCATAGTTTATAGACAGTGCATCATGTCCTGAGCCTATAGATCCTTTGTGAAATTATTTTACTGTTTACAAATATTTTCTGAAATAGGCTGTTTGTGCCAAGCATTGTTTCCCACAAACATTTGTCTTTTGATACTGAGAATTGAACCCAGGGCTGTAGTTAGCACTGAGCTACCTCCCCAGTCCTTTTAATTTTTTTTTGTTTGTTTTGTTTTTTAATTTTGAGACAGGGTCTTTTGTCTTTGTTTTTGTTTTTGAGACAGAGTCTCACTATGTAGCTCAACTGTAGCCCACATTGGCCTCAAATTTGTGACAATCCTCCTATCTCAGCCTCCCAAGTGCTGGAATTGCAGTAATGAACCACCACATCCAGTTATGATAGAGTATTGTTCACTAAGTTACTTAGGCTAGGTTTGAACTTGCAATCCTCCTGCCTCAGCCTCACAGAGTGCTGGAGCTACAGGTACGCTTCATCACTCCCAGTTTTATAATCACTTCTTACCAGAGGATGCCACTCAGTTCTCTTTAAAGAAAAAAGGGTCAAGTCCTAAAAGAGCTGGGATGAAAACCAAGTGTGTTTGCGTACACTGGTGGGTTGGTGTTGAGGGAGTGACAGAAAGAATGAGAAAAGGGTCTATTTTCTAGTTTCAGGACTTTGTCTCATGTATGTTCCTATATATATACTGTCTAAGCCCTGCTTGTGGGAAGAAAATTAGAGGGAACAATAACCATTCAGGTTTGTATGAACCCCAACCCCAGAAACAACCTGACAAGGAAGTTCTGAAGCCCATTCTTTTATACTTTCTTTGTCTGCAGTACCCTTATTGCTATTGAGAAGTTGGTTCCTAATTCTAGCAAAAATGGCAGATGGTGGATAGATAAGAGCAGAATACAGAGGTTCCCTGAGACAAACAACTCAGATGCCAAAATAAAACATCGTGGAGAGACCCAGACAAAAGGAGATAGATCCTCTGGACCTAGGAAGAAGCTAAAGCAAAAAGAACCCATCAAACATGCAGTCCAGGGTTACTATTGAGGCAGCTAAGATTCAGTGCTCTCATGCACCTGAATTCCCACTGCTTTGACTCACTGGAACCATAGTTCCAGTCACACTGAAGTGCAGTCGCACAGAAGTTGGAGGTTGGCAAGATGAATGGAGACTGGAGCCTGCAAGGGACCTACACTGACCTGCGGTGAGTGCCAGGAATAAAATCCTTCCACAGGAAAGGGGCACCAATGGGATGACATTTTGGAATCGGGCAGCACTGGCAAAAACAAGGAACAGTAGTGACTTTAGTCAGTTGTTCCTTTCCCAGACCAGATTGGTGGGGTATCATTGGCCTGGGTCACACCACTGGCTGAGACCCAATAAGTTGTCCCAAACCAATTCTGTATGAATGGCATGCACTAACACAGTGAAGGCCTCAGCAGGTTGACTGACCCCTGAGGGGAGGAGCCAGCATTCACCACCCCTGTTTGCATCTCAATAAACACACTGGGGTGGGCAGGATTACCTAGCCAGCAGGCTTCAGAAGAACTATAACAAACAAGGAAAGTGACTGAGACCTCCTCTATATGCCTGTATGGAAGAAACCAAAAATATGAGAAGAAGAACCAATAAGAAAAATTCCCCAGCCCCAACCCTGAGAATATTAATCCAAGAGAGGTAAATACAAAAGAGATTGAGGACAGCAAACATGCAATATCAGAAACGGCATCAGTGGAAATAAAGAGATATCTTTGGGACCTCATAGATGAGTTCAAAAGTGAAATATTTAACCAATTAAAGCAAGATATAAGTAGATTAATAAAAGAAATGCTAAGCACCTGTCAATAAGACACAGACAGAAGAATGGAGTAGCACCAAGAAGAGAGAGAAATGTTTGATGAAGAATATAAAGAAAACATGGAATACGTGAAGCAGGTTCAAAAAGATTACCAGGAAAAAAAAACTCCATTGAAAGCTGGCAAACCTGCTTGAAAGAAACTAAGGATAGATTATCCAAACTGTAGGACAGGTGTGCAATGTGGGATCATGAAAGGAAAAATTTCTTTTTTAAAAAAATTTCATTTAAGGAGAAAAAGAAAAAAAACCAGAAAAAGGATAAAAGTTATGCAGAATTTCAAAAAGAGATATAAACAGTAGGAAATCACTAGTTTCTAGATTATATATTTTCATCATAGAAATAGTTGTTCAAGTTACAAAATTAAAGCATATAAAGTGGACATTCAAACTGTTTGAGACTGTAAACAGTTCTGTTCAATGATCCAACAAAGCTCAGTAATATGGTTATATGCTTAAATATACATGCAGTTATATCCTTTAGAGCACTTTCTTTTCCTCTCTTTTTTACAATGATAATCACACATTTTGGGTTTTATTATTCCCACAGTTCTTATTACATTGTTTTGAAGAGAATAAAACCAAATGTAACATAACAAAACAGAGTCAGGCAAATCAAAAGGATGGACATAGTACATAATGTGAAAACAGAATACAAGGTGATCAACAATGGTTACCATAGTGTTTCTTGCTATCTTAAAAAGAATTGCCTATATCATCAGGTATAATAAAATTGAACAAAATGGTACAGAACAAAACCAATAAAACGAACACATTGGAGACATTACAGGACTTCAAAAGAAGATAATAGTTAAACCAGAATGGGCATCATAGTGAATCTTATTGTCTTCACAGTTGTTGCCTATACTCTCAAACTTGGTACTATCAAGCAAAACAGAATGGAGGAAAATCAGTCAAAACAAGATGGTGAGAGCGATACAGGGCTTCAAATCAAGTTAATAGGAAATCAAAGTGGGTTACTATAATATATCCTGCTATTTTCTCCCTTAATTAAAAAGACAAAAATAAAAAAATAATAAAAGAGGACATAACAACAAAACAGCACAGGTCAGAACATAACCATTTAAGCAAAATAGTGTTTCACCACAAGATATCTTGACATAAAGGTAGTTACCATAGTGTCTCTTTCCTTGAAATCTTTGAGTACAACTTTGTTGGGAGCCGTGGCACTGTCAAGTCATCAGACGCGGTGATTGCGAGGCCTGTGGGAAAGTACAAAAGCCTGGGCTAGATTACCCCTCTCATCGAGCCCGCCTGTGTGGCACCTGTTTCTTATCACCCCACTAAGTTCCCGCCTCACAGGGTAGTCTGCCTAGCTATTAATCCTATATATAGCCAGTGCCTCCACCCCCGAGAGAGAGAGAGACTGAAGCACAAAAGGAGCCGCGGGGAGCGGACCAGTAGAGGCTTCGGGGCAGACTGAAGCACGGAAGGAGCCGCGGAGAGCGGACCGGTAGAGGCTTCGGGGCAGACTGTATAAGGAGAGAATAAAGAAAAGCCTGACCACCGCCAGACCTTGTCGTGTGTCTTTCCTGCCGGCCGGGAGCGACATCGACATTTGGAGGCCCGCACGGGGATTGATCAACCCCGAGACGCGGCGGTGGACTGCATTCTCCTACACAGTGCTGCAGCTGCAGGACAGGTGAGTAGAGGATAAGCCTGGGCCCTGGGTGGCGCGCACCTACAGGGTTTGTAGACTCCTCTCAACCTCACGCGTAAGTGGCGGGTTTCTTGGGCCTCACGCGGTGAGTATGAAACATAACACCAGAACTTAAGGTAATAAAAGAGTGTAAAACATAAACATAGAAGTAAAAATAACAGAAGATATATTAAAAATGGGAAACATGCCAAGTAAAGATACACAGCCTTGGTGTTGGTCCTTCGGAGACTCCTAAAGTCCAAGGACCTCAAGGTAGGGCGTAAGACTTTAGAAAATTTCCTTGCAGAGATTGACAGCTTTGCTCCCTGGTTTCTGCCTACAGGGCATGTAAACCTGCCCTCCTGGGAAAAGTTGGGCAGAGACCTTTCCCTAGCAGAGCGGGAGGGTAGAGCTTCAGTCTCTGCTCGTCCATTGTGGGAAATGATACACACGTGCCTAAAGAGTGAGGGTAGTTACGGGGGGAGCTCTCAAGAACTTGTAGAAGTACGCGAGGTGTTTGAACAGGCACAGTGAGGAAGCTCCCGAGAAGGGTCCGTCAAGGAGGGCAGAGATACAAAAGAGGAAGCCGAGGCGCGGTTTGTGTCTTTCCGCAGGAATCGGGACGAGAACCAATGTGGGTCCCAGAGAGGTTGACGCGACAAGTCCCTCGACTGAAGATCAGGCCTGTTCCACCAGAGGCCAACCGCAGACCCAACAACAAGATGAGCCCTAAAAGAACTGCAGGACAATCCCTTTTTGGGGGCCTGGAACGGCTTGCTCCCCTATGTGCTACCCTTGTATACACATGGCTCGCTCGCATGGCCTACGACCGCGTTTAAAAGTGACAGGCTTCCCACATTCTCCTCCCTAGACAACAACATGTAGCAGGGTGGGTGAGTCAATGACGGGTAAGAGCGTGCCTCCCCAGCACGACTCAACCTAAGCCAGGCCCTACCCCGTTCCGCTCGAAAGCCGCTGGATTGTTAGATAAATTTCTCTCCGAGGGGATTCGTGGAGAGAAATGAGTGCATGCCTATGTGCAACCAGGTTCCGTCCGGTTCATTCCTGGCCCTAGAAAAAAGGACGAGGGCCTCAGGGCCTTGGTGGACCCTGGGACGGCCGACCAGGGTCTACGCTAAGGGCCTACGGTGGGCCTCAGTTCGGGGCATAGGCCTCTGCACTCTATCCAGGACGGGCTGCGATGCGCGTAGCCATCATTTAAAATAAAATAGGGGGAGATGTTGGGAGCCGTGGCACTGTCAAGTCATCAGACGCGGTGATTGCGAGGCCTGTGGGAAAGTACAAAAGCCTGGGCTAGATTACCCCTCTCATCGAGCCCGCCTGTGTGGCACCTGTTTCTTATCACCCCACTAAGTTCCCGCCTCACAGGGTAGTCTGCCTAGCTATTAATCCTATATATAGCCAGTGCCTCCACCCCCGAGAGAGAGAGAGACTGAAGCACAAAAGGAGCCGCGGGGAGCGGACCAGTAGAGGCTTCGGGGCAGACTGAAGCACGGAAGGAGCCGCGGAGAGCGGACCGGTAGAGGCTTCGGGGCAGACTGTATAAGGAGAGAATAAAGAAAAGCCTGACCACCGCCAGACCTTGTCGTGTGTCTTTCCTGCCGGCCGGGAGCGGACATCGACACAACTTCATATACTGTAGCATCAAACATATCAAGACAATGTAAAACCATTCAAGAGAATGACAGTATTACAGGGTATTTAGAACCAACTAACAGAAAATGAACAATGGTTTCTGTATTATCTCCTTGTCCACAAAAGTTTTTGTTTATATTGTCACATATAATAAAATCCAATAAGATACAACATGTTAAGACCGATTGAGACAGAAGAACAAAAGCCTGATGGGACTTCAAAACAAGATGATATTAGATCAGCATTAGCTATTACGATGTCTTGTTTTCTCCAAAATAGCTGTTCCTACCATCCAACCATCTCTGCCTCATTTCTGTTGAGCTCTTTTTCTGTCATTAGTTGTCAGTTTGTCTTCTTCATTTTGCTTTCTGCTCCATTCATTGTGGCCTCTCTGCCTCTGTTTCTGGAATCTTGGTATTTTTCTCTTTTAGAATGTCCTGCAGTATTCTCTGTAGAGTTGAATTGGTGGTTGCAAATTCCCCTAGTTCCTGTTTATCCTGGAGGCTTCGTGTTTCTCCATTAATTTCTAGGGACAGTTGTGAGGATATAACAATCTTGGCTGGAGGTTATTGTCTTTCAAAGCTTGAATTATTTCTCCCCATGCTCTTCATGATTTGATGGTTTTTGGCTAGAAGTCTGCTGTAATTCTGATGGGTGTTCCCATGTAAGTGATCTGTTCCTTTTCTCTGACAGCTTTTAATATTCTGTTCTTATATTGGATTTCTGGAATTTTGATTATTATATGCCCGGGTGTAGCTCTGTTTGGGTTGTAGGAGCCTGGGGTCCTGTATGCCTCATACATCTGAGTATTGTTACCTTTTCCCATATTAGGGAAGTTCTGCTTGATTATTTCTGTGAATAGCCTTTGCAGTTCATTTGTTTGTATCCCTGATTCTTCCTTTACATTCTTAATTCTTAATTTATAGATCCCCTTATCATCTTCTAGCCTTTGTATTGTTACTGCTTATTTTCTTGTTATTTTTAAGAAGTTTTTCATTTCATGCTCCCACATTACAAATCTGTCCTCCAGTTCAGATAATCTATCCTTAGTTTCTTTCAAGCTGTTATGCTAGCTTTCCATAGAATTTTTAGTTTCCTGGTAATCTCTTTGAACCTGCTTCACGTATTCTATGTTTTCTCTATTTTCTCCATCAAACAGTTCTCCCCTTTTTTCCTGTCCTTCCATTCCACCATCTGTTTTTTCTTGGGAGGTGCTTAGCATTTCTTTTTTCTACTTATATCTTGCTTTACTTGGTTAACTGCTTCACTTTTGAACTCGTCTATGAGGTCCTGGAGATATCGCTTTATGTCTATTGGTGCTGTGCCTGATGTTGCATGTTTTGTGTCCTCGTTCTCCTTTGCATTTACCTTTCCTGGATCAGTGTTCTCAGGATTGGGGACTGAGGACCCTTTCTTGTTGCTCCCTCTTCCCATACTTTTTGTTCCTTCCATACAAGCATATATAGGAGGCCCAGTTTCTTTCTTTGTCAGTTACAGTTTGTTTGAATCATGTCAGCTAGGTGTTCCCACCCACTTCAGTGTACTTGGGAGTCAGACTTGAGCAGCCTATGTTGGGCCCACCCCTCCAGGTCAATCAACCTGCTGAAGGCTTCACTGCATTAGGATGCACTGCCAGGTGCAAGTACCTGATTTGCGCTAGCCTACTGGGTCTTAGTCCGTGGCATCACCCAGGTAAAGCACTTGCCACCAATCCTGCTTGAGAGGGGAATATGTGACTGAAATCACCACAGTGTCCTATTTTGGCTAGTCTGCCTATTCCCAGAATGTCCACTGTTGGAGCCTCCTATTTGTGTGGAAGGGTCCCCATTCCTCTCACTCACTGCAGGTCGATGCATAGCTCCCCACCAGCTCTGCTCTCAATTCGGTTTGCCAATTCCTGTTCTCAGAGCTTTCGCGTCTCTATGCCTGCTGTGCCAATTCAGATGCAGCAGTGGTGGCAGGAAATTCAAGCCGCAGTTTCCAGAGTTGCAGGTTCCAGCTTTGGCACTGAGACTTTAGCTGTTCCAGTGGTAACACCGGGATTACATTTCCAGTTGGTTTCTCTCAACTTAGTTGGTTCCTGGGTCAGCAGGATATATCTCCCCCTGCTGAGGACTCCCCACACATAGGATAGATTATCCAAACTGGAGGACAGGTATGCAATGTGGGATCATGAAAGGAAAAACTTCTTAAAAATAACAAGCAGTAACAATACAAAGGCTAGAAGATGACAAGAGGATCTATAACTTAAGAATAAAATAATGTGAATGAAGAAGCATGGGTACAAACAAAGGGACTACAAAGGCTTTCCACAGAAATAATTAAGGAAAACTTTCCAAGCATAGGAAAAGGAAATTATATTCAGATGTATGAGGCATTCAGTACTCCAGCTACCTTCAACCAAAACAGAGCTATACCCAGGCATATAATAATCAAGATCCCAGAAATTCAATATAAGAACAGAACATTAAAAGACATCAGAGAAAAGAAATGGTTCACCTATAAAGGAAAACTCATCAAAATCATGGCAGACTTCTCAACACAGACCATCAAATCAAGATGAACTTGGAGCAAAGTATTCCAAGCCCTGAAAGAAAATAAACTCCAGCCCAGATTGATATACTCTGCAAAACGGTCTCTGTACATTAATGGAGAAACAAGATGATTCCAAGACAAAGAGGAATTGGGGAATTTGCAACCACCAATCCAACTCTACAGAGAATACTGCAGGACATTCTAGAGAGAGAGAAAAGTACCAGGATTACAGGAACAGTGGCAGAGAGGCCTCAGTGAATGGAGCAGAAAGTGGAATGAAGAAGAAAAGCAAACTAATGGCAGAAATAGATCAAAACAGAAATGAGGCAGAGAAGGTTGGCTGTAATCTCTAATATAGATGATCTTGATACACTAAAAAAAGAAAAAAAAAGAGAGAAACACAGGCAGAGTAGTTCAGGAGGTAGGGTCCACTGATATGCTCTTTATAGGAAATATAATTAACCTGAAAAGGGGTTTATGGGCCAAAAATCAAATATGAGAATACAATGTTCTATGTGACAGGGAACCAGAGAGTAATAGGGGCAGCTTGATCAGTATTTGTAGATAGTTTGGAAAGACAGGCTTTTATGGGTAAAGTAATACAACTAGAAATCAAGTCCAGGAGGAAGTGTGGTTCTGAATCACTTAGGTAAATAGCAGGTTGCCCCACCAATCTAAAAACTGAGGGTGTTGGTGAGACCCCAAAATGCACAGTGCATCCTGGGGGAGTGAAAGAGGAGGAAAGGTCTTTAAAAAGACATCAAAGGATATTGTTAATAGAGTACCAGAATTTAAAACCCACATTACTCACATTGTTCTGCTTAGATAGATTTTATTCTGTCCCAGTTTGTCTGCTTGCAGTAGATGTGAGGGCACAGACAGCTATTGCAAAAATAACATGATATAGCACAGTAATCATCTTTAATTTCCTAATAATTGGAGCCCTGTATAACTTGTACTGTTTTATCATGACTGATCTTAGTTAAATCTGATTTGTTTGATTGTTGTTTGGTATCTACAGATTTTATTCAAAACTGTTATGACTGATAGTATCAAGTCTGAGAGTATATAGAATTACACTGAAGATGACAACATTCACTATGATACCCATTCTGGTTTGATTATTACCTGTTTTTGAAGTTTTATACTATCTACAAAGTTTTGTTTTTATTAACATTGTTATGTACTGCTATATTCAATTATACTATGTCAATGACACAGACAATTCTATTGAAGATAACAAGAGACAACACAGTAATCATTGTAGAACTCCTTGTACAGTAGTTTTATATGTCTTTTTCATTTCTTGTGTTTATAGGAATATGTTTTGTTTTTTCTTGCTTTGTTTTGTTTCTCCCTCTAACATAGAAAGGATAGAAATACATGTTAAGACTTGTGCATGCATAGAACCTATAAAGAGTTTAAGAGAACTGATCTTATAACACATGATGAAATGAACAAATATTTTGAAGAAAAAGAGATACTACAGTACCCAGTGCTGATTCTGGAGTGTCATGATGTGAAATCCAGCAATACTATTATTCTTTGTCCAGAGTGATTTTAGCCTGTTATGGTTTGTTTAATCTCAACATAAATTAAGATATGGATAACTTCATGTATGTTTAAGTGTATAGGATTGATAACCATATTATTAAGTTTTTGTTAGATAGTTGAACAGAACTGTTTGCAATCTGGCTGTTTGAACTCCCACTTTGTATGTTTCACTTTTGTATCTTGAACAGCTATTTGTAAGAGGACAATACGTAATCATCAACTAGTTATTTTTTACTGTTTATTTTTTCTTTGAAAGTATGTTTTATTTCTACCCATTTTCTGTTTTGTTTAGTCTTTCTTTAAATAAAGTTTTAAAAAATGGCTGGTGGAGATTAATGCCCATCCCTCTGCTACCACAGTCCTGAGAGCCTAGGCAAACTTTTAGTGCCCTTTCTGCTAGTACCTTCACACTTGTACCTCATAAGGTTTTGGTTCTTGACATTACATGGTTTATTGCCACTTGTTGGGGTTGGGCAGGTACTTAGAGTTTGGTGTTTACCAGATGGTTCATCTAAGACCTTGGAACTTTGTCTTTTAGAAATCTCTTTAGTACAAAATAAGTGCATTTTGAAATCTCCAAAACACCTAGCTAAAAGTGAGAATCCCGATTATCTAAAGTTTTTACTATTGTGTTTTCCTACTGTCTTTAGAGAACACATATAGTCACAATCTTATTCCTTACATACTGAAAGAGTGACCCAATTACATACTTGAGACCTTACAGCCTCTGGAGTATGTAGTGAAAATATGGCATGAGTCTTGGGAACAATCACAGGTCATGTGAAACAGAAATAGTGAGGTCAATGTGTGTGAGGTATGAAAACTAAGTATGAAAAGAACACATTCCATGCATG